TTATGTGATGCTGARGATCGAACCCAGTGCCTCATGCATGCTAGGCAAGCGCTTTACCTCTGAACCACAACCTCAGCTCTGTTGGTAGGCTTTTGATAGCATCTTCAATTCCTTTGCTTGAAATTGATCTAAATATTCCATGTCCTCCTGATTCAATTTGATCTAAGACATGGTATAGTTTAGAGAAGGATCTGTGCTGCTGAGAAGAAAGTATATTCATTGATGGATGAAATAGTCTACATATATCTGTTAAATCTAAATTATTAATGGTATTTTCTGTTTCATAGCTTTTTTATTTAGTTTTTGTTTGGAGGATCTATTCCATAAAACAGGCATATTACAGTCACCAATTTTTGTTGTTGTTGTTGTGGCCATTTGATTTTCAAAATTGAGAAGGGTTTGTTTCTATGTAGTTGCTACACTGTTTGGGGCATAAATACATAATGATTGTTATGTGTTGTTGATATATATTTTCTTTAAACAATATGGAATGTCCTTCTGGTTCTTTTTCATTAATTTTGGCTTGAAATCTACTTTATATGATATGAAGATAGAAGCTCTGGCTTGTTTATAAGATCCATGTGAATGATATGTTTTTTTTTCCCATTCTTTTACCTTCAGTCTGTGGTTATCTTTGCCTATGAGATGAGTCTCTTGGAGACAGCATATGTTGAGTCTTGGTTTTTAATCCAATCTGTTGGTCTATATCTTTTGATGGATATGTTTAGGCCATTTACATTCAATGTTATTATTGGGAAATGGTTTTTATTCCATATCATTTGAGTTATTTCTATGTTTTGAATTTGAATTAGTTTATCCATTCATTGACTATTCTTGTAGTGTAGTTTCTCCTTTTGCTGGTTTTCATTTTTATTTTTCATTTCTTCAAGAAATATTTTATTGTATGTTTTGTAGTTCAGGCTTTCTATTTGTGAATTCTTTTAAGTTTTATTTATTATGGAAGATTTTTATTTTTTTTGGTGACATGGTATTATTTTATTTATATATTTATCTACTTATTTATTTCTTACATACATGACAATAGTGGAATTCATTACATTCATATTTATACATTCTCAGAACAATTTTTCATAACTCTGTATATAATGTATGTTCATGCCAAATTATGCCATTATACATGAACTCTCTTTTTTTGCATTACAATTCTTAATACATCTTTATAACACAAATGGAAGGTTTTTATTTCATTGTCTATTCTGAAGCTTAATGTCACTGAGTATGGTGTTCTTGACTGGAGCCCATGTTCTTTCAGAGTTTGGAATATATAATTCCAAGACCTCCCAGCTTTAGGGGTCTGAGTTTAAAAATCAACTGAGATCTGTATTGGTTTCCCTTTAAATGTGGCCTGCTGCTTTTCTCTGGCAGCCTTTGAAATTCTATAATCTGTATGTTAGGCATTTTTATAATAAGTTCTTGTGTGGGTCTGTTGTAGTTTTGTATATTTAGGGGTTCTGTATGCCTCCTGTACCTGATTTTCTGATTTTTCTTAAGGCTTGGGAAATTTTTATTGAAAAAAAAAACTGTGCATTCCTTTGGTTTAACTCTGAGCTTTCATCTACCCAATAAGTCTTAAGTTTAGTCTTTTCATTTTATCCATCTTGGAATTTTATTCATAGTCTCTTAACATTTTTTATCCTCTTAACAACTCTATTTTCAAGATTATATACTTTGTCTTCATTGTTTCAAACTCTGTCTTCCATGTGGTCTTTTCTGTTGGTGATGCTTTCCAATTAATTTTTAATTTGTTTTTCTGATTCCTTCATTTAGAGGATTTTGGACTGATTCTTCTTCAGGATCTCTATCTCCTTATTAAAGTGATTTTTTTTCATTCTGTATTTTCATTCTGATTTAATTTCTTTCTTCATCATTTACCTCATAGATCTGTTTAATTCTGAACTTTCTGAATTCCATCCCTGACATTTTCTAAACTGTAGTATCAGTTTTTTGTTGTTTAGGATTGTTTGTTCCTTTACTTTTCCTTGTTGTTTGTATGTTTACCCATATATCTGGATGGATATGGTGCTATAAAGTTTCTATCTTATGAGTTTATAATACTTTCTATGTTACTAGTACCTTACAGATTGGGAGGGAGCCCAATGATAGCTTTAATCTATGCAGACAATACATAGCAATAGACCAGGTCTTTAGTTCTTATTTTCATATTTAATGTTAATTGGTACAATATGTAGAAATAGTATAATCAGAAATTTCAATCAGTAAAAACAGTAAATAATCATGAATTATGTTTGGTATAAAATTAAACAATAGGTATTATCTATGATTTCTGCCTTATTAATTATTGCTGTGACATTGATGGTAGGGGCAGATATTATATATGTCAATTAGTATTATGAGGTATTAAGGATAGAGTTGAGTATGAGGAAAGAAGAAATAGGAGGGTAGAAAAGTATTTGCAATTTCAAAATGTGCATAGGGCAGATGCTTTGATAACATCTTGATAACATCTACAGGATTTGTACCTGTAGCCTTCATGGGGAGGAAGTAAGTAACTCTCAGAGGTGTGGGCCAACTGGAAATAAAAATTTGGAAAAGTAGGCTAGGGCTGTGGCTCAGTGGTAGAGTGCTCACCTGGCACATGTGAGGCACTGGTTTTGATCCTCAGCACCACATAAAAAATAAAATAAAGGTATTGTGTTCACCTACAACAACAAAAAAAAACATTAAAATTTTTTTTAAAAAAACTCTGGGAAATTATTATTGAGAAATAAACACAAAGGACAAGAAATATATTGAAAGCAGTGACTTGACAGGTGGGAAAGACCTGATGAATCTGATTCTAACAAAGGGAAAAGCCCATGAATTCTTTATTTATAGCAAAACACACCAAAGGAATTTATTGTAACATGGGGTTCTTCAAGGTAAACAAGAAGGGAGAAGCTGTTGGGGGGGGGGGGAATTGGCTGGGTTGGAGGCTTATCACTTGCACAGTAATTCTTCCTCCAGGCAGCTGGCATCTCAAAGCTGTTTAGGCACACTGGTATCTCTTTTACCCAAGGCTAGCAGGCATCTAAATTCAAAACTATCGAACTCATAAATTCCACACCAGGCATAGAATCTGCCCCATTAACAGTGACCACCTGCAAGTGAGCATGTCTTTCAGCACAGTTGTACCAAAAGAAATTCAGAAGGGCAGTCTACCTATCCAAGGCTATGGAATTCAAAGCAATAATTTATTTGCCGCTCCTCACAAGGATTTGTTGTCAATGTGAAAGGGGAAGAAAAAATCTAGCACATAAATGAGGAGAGAGGGGGGCTGGGGTTGTGGCTCAGTGGTAGAGCCCTCAACTCGCACATGCAAAGCCTTGGATTCCATCATCAGTACTACCTATAAATACATACATACATACATACATACATACATACATAAAATAAAGTTATTGTGTGCAACTACAAAGAAAATGTGGCATATATGCACAATGGAATTAAAAAAAATGACTTTAAAGGAGGAGAGAGGGAATGGAATTGAGTGTCAGCAATAGAAAAAAGAGGAGGAGACAAGGGACATAGAGTAGTGGTAAAGATAATACAAAACAAAATCATAATATGCTAATCAAAACCCCTATCCCTATGTTCAGTCCTCAGCATCACGGGGCTGGGTGGGGGCAGGGGGACCTAACCCTCAAAATACAGAGCATAGGAAAATAATACCTTCAAAAAATAAATAAACAAATAAAAGTTTTTAAAAGGCTAGAAATAAGGAGAGAGAAACACACGTATAGAAATCCTTGAATCAATCAGTACACATTCAAATAAAACAAAAACACAATATAGAAAACCAAAACAAAAAGTAAAACAAAATAAGCAACAACAAAAAGGAAAAAATATCGGTGAAATGTTAAGAAATTAAGGAGTAATTTCCACTATGGTGGACGAAATAGTCAATGAAAATATGTGTTCACTATCTGTGCCCAACTGATTTTCTTTTAGTTTCGTCTTGAGGTATGAACTAAGAGTGGGAATATGGGCCATGAGTTGTGAGTCCTTTCTTTTTTATTGTGTTGCTCACCAAATTTAATGTTGGGGTTTAAGACTTCCCAATTTCCCTTCTTAGAAGATTAGTGTTGGCAGGCCAGGCTCTCGGCTGTGTGACAAAACCACTGGCTGGGGCAAGTCATCCTGGCAGTGGATTGGCTCACAGTGCATAATAACACAAATGCATATTCACATGCCACTGGTAAATGTATTGCTGCTCTGTTTACCTTTTAATCAGCATGACAAACAGAATTATACCATGCAATAATTATGAAGTAAAAAGTTATAATCCAATTTTTGAACTGAAAAAAATAGTGTTAAATAATTGTGCTGTGGCAATTATGCAGTGAAGTATAGTAAAATACACCTTCAAGTGATTAAAATACCTCCTTAGAAGAACTGTTTTAATTAAATCAGGAAATTCTGGTAATGAACTAATTAAATGGTGTTTGTCTTTTAATAAGTGGGACAACATGCAAAAATTGAGAAAAAAAAATTGTGAATAAGTGTATTTCCTTATGTCTATTAGAGTAGAAAAATGTTAAATATATGAAGTTAATTTTAGTTTTTCTCTAAGAAAATAATTTGGAGCATAATAATAACAATTTTATTTGAGAAAGGGTATCTATATAGAGAAGATTTTGTAGCTATTAAAATGTGGATTTTCTTGACCTCTGTGCTCCTTGCATACTAAAACGATTCTGTGTCATTCTGCTATACAAATAGAAGATCAAGTTAAACAGCAGATTGGGTAGTAATTACTTACCTGACAAGGTGTTCTTACAGGTCATCCTTATTTTTTGTAGTTAATATTCAAGGTTATTATACTAAGTCATTCTATCCAACGTAAAGGCAAACCTTTCCTGATTAACATACCATAACTCTTAACCTCCTCTACCCTAGACAATATTTTTCAGTAAACTTATACTTAATTTAAAGGACAAAAATATTCATGACTATTTTTATTTTTATTTTTTGTCTCTTAGAGTTGCCTTTGGAAACTGCAATGGGTTGGCTGTGGTGGATTTTATACAGAAGACAGTTCTGTTAAGCATGGGGACCATTGACCTTTATAGATCAAGTGACCTATATCAGAGACAACCACGTTCTCCTCGAAAGAACAAGCAGATCATTGCAGGTAGGAAAGAAAACAAGCTGGGTTATGAACTTGATTTGTACACCATTTTTTTCAGATTGCTTATCTTTTGTGATGTTATTCAAATGCTTTATAAAATGAACCAACATGATTTATACTACCATGTAATACAATGTGTTGGGCAGAAATACAGTGAGAATCTTTGAAAGGGCAAGGGAGGTATATAAAGTTTAATTTGCTTTTTAGGTTAGGAAGCATTTCAAGTTTCTTAGGTTAAGTTCCTAAGAAATAAGAGAAAATAAGAAGCTGCTAAATTTTGAAATGCTGTGAAAATCAAGTTCTTTAGTTGAAAAAGCTGGCCAAGCGTGGTGGCACATGCCTGTAATCCCAGCAGCTCAGGCAAATTAGACAGGAGGATCACAAGTTCAAAGACAGCCTCCGCAATTTAGTGAGGCACTAAGCGACTCGGTGAGTCCCTCTTTATAAATTAAAAATATATCAGTACTCAGGCTGGGGTTGTGGCTTGGTGGTGGAGTGCTCACCTGGCATGCTTAGGGCACTGGGTTCGATCCTCAGCACCACATAAATATAAAATAAAGATATTGTGTCCACTTAAAACTAGAAAATAAATGTTTTAAAAAATATATCAATACCCCCCCCAAAAAAAAAGAAGCTGCGGTCAACTTACTTGTAATATATTTTGCCCCTTTTAACATGATAATTTACAGTAGTGGTAGAGTGCTGGATAGTGTGTTTGCCTAGCATGCACGAGACCCTGGTATGATCCCCAACACAACAAACACACATATAAAAGGTAACTTAAGGTCATTCACTTCTTTTAATATTTTAAAATAACTCTATATTATAGCTGTGACCTTTTCCTGATGGATGATGACTGTGTTGGAAATATTTTAACAAGCACAGTAAATATTATTCATTAACATTTTTAAATGCTATGAAAGATAGCATCTTTCTTGACAAGACAAATTGGCCTATTCAACTATAAAAAGAAAGAACTCTGTGGTAATTAGATTATATTGCCATAGTTTGATATCCTAAATTATCAAAATTTATTGGAATTTCGGTATATATCCAAATAGTTGGCTTTATAGACATTGCTGAAATTTTGTGTATTTTTTTGTCCGTTGATGTCGTCTAGTTGGTAGAAATTAGGGAAATGGTTTGCAGATAAAAATGCTTCTATAGAATTATGTGTTTAGACAATTATTTTAAATTTTCTACTTTTCTTTATTTAAAATAACCAATAGGATATCAAAGCTTTAATTTAAAAAAAAAATCCATGAAAAGAATATTAGGGGCTGCGGTTGTGGCTCAGCAGTAGAGCACTCGCCTAGCACATCTAGGGCACTGGGTTTGATCCTCAGCACCACATAAAAATAAATAAATAAAGGCATTGTGTCCAACTACAACTAAAAAAAATAAACATTTTTTAAAAAAGAATATCTTACAATAAAAATTTAAAATCTTACACTTTATTTTCCAAATAACAGGTATGTCAAAACCTTTGAGTGTGATAAAAGAATTTTCCTTTTAGACTAAAAAATTTGATTTTTAAAAAATTTCTCCTTTATTAGCCTTTTGATAAACTTCACTGCTTTCTAAATTATTAGCTTAGACCATTTTCAGGGACACAAAATTATCTTTTAAACCTGAGGCATTTTTGTTAGGAATTCAACTGTTATCAATATTTTAGGACTGCTAGAAAGAAAAACAAAATAAAAGAAATTGTGTGTATGTACCATAAGAGTCTCTCAATAGTGGGAAAGAGAAAGTTGATTTATGAAAGTTAAAATCTTTTAGAGCAAGAAGGTTTGAAGGGCTAGTAGCTGCTGTTTGCAGTGCTGAAAGCACCATTTCAAGTCATAAAAGCTGTGGACCCTTTGATAGCATCTAAGATACTTGCTTTCTGGAAGTGCTGGGTGTATATGGTGGGCTGAAAAAGTGAATATTATGACAAAGGAAAATTATAATTTAAACTTCTTGAGCATCGATAATTATTATTATAGCTTAGAAATTCTGATGACTTTAGAATATGGAAAACTGTGATGAAGCTGTAAACTTGGTTTTTATTTTAGTTTACAAAATTAATATACTGAGCTGGGCATGGTGGCACATGTCTGTAATCCCAGAAACTCTGGAGGCTGCAACAGGAGGATGGCAAGTTTGAGGCTAGCCTTTGCAACTTAGCAAGACCCTGTCTCAAAAAAACAAAAAGGGATGGCGATATAGCTCATATGTAGATTATCCCTGGGTTTGATCCCTAGTACTGAAAAACAAAATGAATACTCTGAGTACTCATATTATAAAAATAAAAATTAAAAACTAAAATCCCTAAGCTTTCTTTTTAATTGCAGAAGCATTAAAGACAATCATTTTGATATTAATGAAGTAAGTTATACATATTATTACAAGCCAAGTATGTATACTATGCAAAAACATTTAAGAAAAATATGCCATAAATTTTTTGTAAGACATTTGATAAAATAAAATTGCTACAGCATCCTCATCATTCATCTATCACCTCTTACTTTCTAATTGATTTTTTAAATATCTCCTTTCTGATTTGATTACATRATTTTGCTGCAATTTCTTCATCTTGGCTGTTCTAGATTCTGGTATGATATCACTTCCTTTCACTTTAGACTATTCTTCTTTCTTTCCCCTGCCTGCTGYTGATGCTGGTGTTCTGGCATGTTCCAAAGACAACTTTTGCATGCGTGGCCTGTCTAACTTTTATCCTGATTTAACGAAACGGATCCGTACTTCTTATCAGAGTAAGTTCTAAAAAGGTTAGACAAATAGCATTTTTGAGTCACAGTGCTTGAATAAAATCCGTACATTGGTGCTCAATAATGTGTTTTTTAAAAACACATTCAGCATGCATGTAAATTTTTGTTTTGTTATTGAAGTGCAACCTGATAATTTTAATAAAAATTATTATGTAAATATTTCAAATCATTATTGTCATGTACCCATTTATTCTTATCCTTTGTTTAAGTGCTTATTTCAAACCATACAGTCTATGTCTTATTAGTCCAAAAGTCGTTATTTTCTGTTTTGAGGACGGAGAGTAATGGTGTCCTGATATAATAAATCTAATATGCCATATCAATAATAATTTAATGTTTTCTTATTTTGGAAGCCTTGTGCTTTGGCCATTTTACTACATTATTCTAACAATAATGTAGTGCCACAATATTTGCTTGTAGTTTTTAGAGATAACTAGGCATTCCTAATTTCTAATGCTTTTTATTAAGATAGAATACCAAAATGTACATTCCTGTAGTGATTTTAGGTATCAACCTGTGAAATAGAGAAATTAAAGTCCAACAAATAAAAGAGTGTATGTTAACATTTCTTATAGTAGCAAATTAAGATTTGAAGATGGCACTAAAAACTAGTGCAGAAAGCATAGGGACCGAGGGTATCTGTCACTGGAAATGCAAATGATACTAATGATGTTACAGGTAAATATTTATTGACATGAAAAAAATGTTTACCTTATGTTAATCAATATGTTATATAACCTGAATTTTTTCAGGCCTCAACATGTTTATAAAAACTAATACATTCACATTAGTTGTAAAACCTAAAACTTTACTGATTTGTGGCCTTAGATTAAGGAAGTTATTCCTTTGAAATCCTTTGAATTTTTCTAAAAGTGCCCAGATGGTGATTTATATTCCCTAGTTTTATACTCTAGTAGCACACCATTTTTTTTTTATTATTTCCCACTGTCTCTGTTCCTGGGACCTGTGTAAAAAACAAGGAGCAAGTATTGACCTGCTCCTAAAACAGAAACTTATTAAATACTATGATATTTCTTCACATATGAAAATTTTATGAAATTTTAGTTTCCATAATAAAGTTTTATGGGAGCCTACTCATACTCATTCATTTACATGTTTTCAGTGGCTGCTTTCACACTACAATGGCAGAAAAGAGTAATTTCAACAAAAACCACATGGCCTACAGGCCTAAAATATTTACTATTTACACAGAAACTTTTCTGATTTCTGTTCTATACCATTCTTTGACATCAGTCCCTTAAAACCACTCAGAGGGTTTCTATCTAAAACCTTTCCTGTATATATTCCCCACAACTTCTGAATCCCAGGTTAGCCTTGTGAAGATAGAATCCCCCTATTTTGTATGTATATACACAGATATAGAAAATTTTCTAGAATATTAGCTCGAATCTTAGAAATTTCTTCTTTTAGTTTACTCTATTTTCTCATATAAATATGTGGTGCTTTTATGGTAAGAAGAAATTGGGGTTGATAATAAGGAGCAAAAGTAGGCTCTAGTTCACGAGAATTCCATAGTATCAACAGTGATATAAAGATTAAAAAAGGTTTTTGAGAAATATTTAATAAGTTTATATTCCCTTCAGAATAAAACAATCAACATTCTTAAACCTTCATTAAAGGTCCTTTAAAATATAATTCTTACCTATATCTTTAAATGGATTTTCTACCACTCTCCTGTAGCAATACCCCACTGAAATAGGCAGAATTAATATTGTCAAAATGGCCATATTACCAAAAGTATTATATAGGTTTAATGCAATTCCTATTAAAATCCCAGTGCCATTCTTCATAGATATAGAAAAACCAGTCAAGAAATTCATTTGGAAAAATAAGAGACCCAAACTAACCAAAGCAGTCCTCAGCAAGAAAAGTAAAGCAGGGGACATCACAATACCAGGCCTTAAATTATATTATAGAGCCACAATAACAAAAACAGCATGGTATTGGTACCAAAACAGATATGTAGATGAATGGTACAGAATAGAGGACACAGAAAAAAACACATAAAATAGTTATCTCATATTAGACAAAGATTCCAAAAACATACATTGGAGAAAAGAGAGCACCTTCAGCTGTTGATGCTGGGAAAACTGGAAATCCATATGTAGCAAAATGAAATTAAACTCCTATCTCTCACCCTGCACAAAACTCAAAGTGGATCAAGGACTAGACCAGAGACCTTGTGCCTAACAGAAGAAAACGTAGGCCAAAATCTCTACTATGTTGGCTTAGGAAATGATTTCCTTAACAAGGCCTTTAAAGCACAAGAAGGAAAATCAATAATCAATAAATGGTAAGGAATCAAACTAAAAAGCTTCACAGAAAAGGAAACAATAACATGAAGAGAGAGCCTCCAGAATGGGAGAGAATCTTTATCACATTCACCTCAAATACAGCATTAATCTCCAGGTTATATAAAGAACTCAGAAAACTTAAAGCCAGAAAAATGAATAATCCAATCAATAAATAGGTTAAGGGACTGTACAGTCACTTCACATAAAAAGAAAGATAATAAATCAACAAATATATGTAAAATTTTTCAACATCTCTAACAATTAGAGAAATGCAAATAAAAACTAGATTTCATCTTACTTCAGTCAGAATGGCAACTATCAAGAATGCAAGCAACAAAAAGTGTTGATGAGGATGTAGGGGAAAAGGTATACTCATACATTGCTGGTGGGATTGCAAATTGGTGAAACCACTATGGAAAGCAGTATGGAGATTCCTCAGAAAACTTGGAATAGAATTACCATTTGACTGAGTTATCCCACTCAGAGCTTAAAATGAGCATACTATAGTGAGGCAGCCACATCAATGTTTATAGCAGCACAATTCACAATAGCTAAACTATGGAACCAACCTGGGTGCCTGTCAACACATGAATGGATAAAGAATTGTGGTATATATACACAATGGAATATTACTCAGCCTTAAAGAAGAATGGAATTATGGCATTTGCCAGTAAATGGACAGAACAGGAGAATATCATGCTAAGCGAATAAGCCAATCCCAAAGAACCAAAGGCTGAATGTTTTCTCTGATATGTGGATACTAATTCACAACAAGGCAGAGAAGCTCAGAAAGTATAGAGATATTTTGGATTAGACAGAGGGGAGTGAAAGGAGGGGAGGGGGTATGGGTGTAGGAAGGATAGTAACATGAATTGGACGTTATTACCCTATGTGAACATATGATTATGTGACCAGTATAACTCTATATCATGTACAACCAGAATAATAAGAAGTTATACTCCATTTATGTATGATGTATCAGAGTACATTCTACTGTCATGTGTAACTAGTTAGTACAAAAATTTTAAAAAATACTTCACTCAAGTCAAGTGTATCTTACTACTCTTATGATTTATTCATAACATCTCTCTGGAAATGCCCTGCTCAAATTTCACTTTCGATAATGAACCTTTCCTGCTACCATCAAAGCCCTGTTCTGCCAGTTCCTTTGCTTAAATTCCTACAGTGATTGCAGTGTACAGGTTTGTACACAGTAGTGTCTGCACCATTTCAATTCATGATTGTATGGCTTTACCTTTCCAAATGCATGACAAGAATATGAATGTATCAGTTAAATTTTTAATTTAAATGATAAAGAATTTTATTTTTTGTATTATTTATGAACAAATCATGAGCTCAATGAGTAAATGATGATGATTGTAGGATACAGCATGGCAGCAGGCTCTTTTCTCTCACAGGAATAGCCGGGCAATTTTTTAAATTTTATAAATAAAAGAACAATTTCTTTCACTACTAGATTCACAAGAATTTTGCAAAAGCAATCATTATTTCTTGTAACTGGAGACTTAACATGTCAAAGTAGAAGTAAAATCGAGTCTAAGAAACAAAGAGATCCTCTGTATTTTACCAGTAGTCTCCATGGACACTCAGATAAGCCCTATGAYTTGAAATCAGATAGTGCAGTCTTCTTTTGATGATTAACAGTATATATTGTGACAAAGGTCTGATTTTTAATGACTCAATGGTAATATCCTGAATTTGCTTTTAAAAATAAATTTTACGGAGCTGGGGTTGTGGCTCAGTGGTAGTGTGCTTCCCTAGCATGTGTGAAACACTGGGTTCGATTCTCAGCATCATATACAAATAAATAAAATAAAGGTCCATCAACAACTAAAAATATTTTAAAAATAAAAAAAATTATAAAAATATGGTTTGAAATTTAAATGTTGGCTAATATAATATGATTACATCTGTATATTCTCAATACTTTTAAGTAGGGACAGTGAAGCCTTTTCAGGAATTGTTTCCTGAGTTTCAGAAAAGTGTAGCTGCATTGTCCCTATTTGGAGAGACAGAACCCACTTCAAATGAGAGTTCATTCTATTCTGAGATCGTGTTAGGCAATTTGATTCAGTGTTATATTATTTAATGGTCATCATAACCCTTTGAGGCAGATGGATATCACTGGTAGATTTGTCTACCAATGAGAAAACTGAAGTTGAAAGAGATGAAACTAGTTCCTTAAAGTCATTCAGAATAAATGAGAAACAAACTACACCTAATATTAATGTGAATCCATATGATTTTCCACTGTATGATCATATGTCTATGAGTGCCTCTTAACGTTTTAGGCACATTGAAAACCAAATCCATTATTCTATAATTAGTAACCACTTTTTCCCCCTATTTTAACTACTGTGAATGAAACAACATATTCAAAAATGAAACAATTTGAAGTTGTTTTGACATATTTAAAATGAGATTGAATACAATGACCTTTAAAGTTTCCTTATTTTTCTTTAAAAACTATAATTTTATTCCACTTCACTCTATTATGTTGATTTTGCTCTTGTGATGTCACATTTCTATTTTGAACCTGTTACTTCATTTCTGGAGAAACATCTTTTGATGATCACCCATCAATTAGGTCAGGCTCCAAGAGGCTAGGCTGCCTTCCCTAAGTCATTAAATTATCATCTGCAAATCTTT